CAGGGTCCTGCAGGGTCCCGAGCCCATGCCAGGCCTCTCTGCCCTTCCTGGGCACGTTCCTGGGATGTCACAGCACTGGTCCTGCAGGGCTTGGCAGAGCCAGGGACATCCCCAGATGTGCAGCCAGCAGAGCTGCACATCCCCACACATGGCTGCAGCTCCAGCACGATGCCTTTGCTCTTTCCCTGTGGATTTCACCCAAAAATGCTGCTGTGCTTTGTCCTCCCCCATCACCTGATGGAAAATCACTGTCACTCCTTGTCCCTGACAATCAGTGGTGCAGCAGCAGAGCTTTGGGCTCGGGAGCCTTCAGTGGGCTCGGAAACCTGAGTGCAGAAAAGTGGAGGCACAAGTGTGGGAATTCTCCCTGGGAAGCAGGTGGGAAGGGGCTGCCAGTTCCTGTCAGCTGTCAGGGGCATGAGCAGCAAATACTGATTTCCTCCAGGACCTTCAGACATCAGCCTGAGTGAAGCAGCTCATTAAGAGCAGCTAATTGCTGCAGTCATTTGTGAAATGAATTTTTCAAGGTTAATTTAGTTTAGCACTGAGAGGCCTCCATTTAGCTCTGGAGAGGGTGAACTGCCACACATCCCTCCCTCCTCTATGGACAGAGCATCCAGGATGGGGAGCTCGGATTTGGGGCATTCTGGGATGGCTGAGGGAGTGCCCTGAGCTGGGATGGGGGAACCCAGGGGATGCAAACACTGGTCCCAGCAAGGCAGGGTGAGCAGCAGGGCAGCTTGGCCTGTGCTTGATGCAGACATCAGCTCTGCTTTGTCAGGAGATGAGCAATCCCTTCAAAAGCTCTTTTAACCATTGCAGGGATCCTGGGAAAGCACAGCCTGAAATGTGGTGAGTCCAGGCAGGCTTTGCTGTTCCCCTGATCCCATTTCCCCTTTGCCATGGGGCTTCCACAAGCAAACCTCCCTGCTGAGGGGCTCCCAGATGGCTCTAAAGGCAGAGGGACAGCCTGTGGGGGCTAAAGGGACATTGCTGCCACTGGGATGGTGCCTGGGGTGGAATCATTTTTCTGCTGGTTGCAGACTGAAAGCAAGTCCAAGGAAGAAACAAGTGCAAAGCTTCTCGTGGTGCATCATCTCAGGTCCAGGGGGCTGTAGCAGCCTCTGCTGTCTCAGTGTGGCACAGAGCAGCCTGGGCAGGGGTCTCGGTGCTGTGGGACCCCAAGCAGGGGGTCTCTGCCCACGCAGGAGCAGTGGGGACCTCTGTCCATGCCTCCACTCCCTGTGCCTCACCACCCACATCCCCCGTGGAAGGAGTCACCTGCAGAGCCCAAACTTGCCCAGGGCTGCTCCAGAGATGGTGGGGCTGGAAAGGAGCTGGAGCAGCTGGAGGGGAGCTGGAGGAGCTGGAGAGGAGCTGGAGCAGAGCTGGTGGGGCTGGAGAAAGCTGATGGAGCTGGAGCAGCTGGAGCAGAGCTGGAGGGGCTGGAGCAGCTGGAGCAGCTGGAGAAGAACTGATGGAGCTGGAGCAGCTGGAGAGGAGCTGATGGCGCTGGAGAGGAGCTGATGGCACTGGAGAAGAGCTGGAGCAGAGCTGGTGGGGCTGGAAAGGAGCTAGAGGAGCTGGAGCAGCTGGGGAGGAGCTGGAGCAGCTGGAGCAGAGCTGGTGGAGCTGGAGAAGAGCTGATGGAGCTGGAGCAGGCTGGTGGCATTGGAGCAGAGCTGGTGGAGCTGGAGGAGCTAGAGCAGCTGGAGCAGGCTGGTGGCATTGGAGCAGAGCTGGAGGAGCTGGAGCAGAGCTGATGGAGCTGGAGGAGCTGGAGGAGCTGGAGCAGCTAGAGCAGGCTGGTGGGGCTGCACGGGTCCCACCTGGGCACAGCCCACCTCGGCAGCAGCCTGGGGAACTCGGCTGTTTAATGCACACATCCTGTGTTTGCAGAGCACCCTCCAGCTGTGACAATGCAGATGTTTCCTGTCTCCCTGGAGCTGCTGAGAGCCTTTCCCAGCTGGGAGCAGTTCCTGCGGTCGGGATCACACAGACCTGGCCTGGGGCAGCGGCAGTGCCCGGGCAGTGCCCGTGCCACCCTGCCCGGGCAGTCCTGGCTCCAGGGAGGCGAGCCCAGCGCCAAGGGCAGCACACGGAGGCTGCCCCTGAGTGATGCCATCCCCTCCTGGGGAGTGTGAGCGGCCCTGAGCAGGACGTGGGATCTGCAGGTGGGCAGGAAGATCCCACGCGTGAGCAGGATGGAGGATGTGACTCTATTGACTGTCCTCCCTTGTTGAGTCTCTGTCCTTTCCTTGTCTGGACCCCTGGAGCCGAGTCCTGCCATGTCCTGTGGCTCGAGGCTGCATTTGGGAAGCAGATAAAGCCAGGTTCAGCCCTTTTCTGCTGGGGCAGAGCGCAGCTGGTGCAGCCCTCACAGGAACTTCTGCTTTCCGGAGGGATGGCTGGAGCAGCCCCCCCTCTCCTCCCTGCACAGCTTTTGGGGCTCCACGGCAGCAGCTGAGCTCAGCTGAGGGGGGCTTAGCTCCGAGTTTTCCTCCCGAGCTGCACTGAGCCCTGTCCTGACTCTGGTTTCCCTCCCCGGGGACAAACCCCTGGAGCCGGGGTGCCTGAGCGCTTTTCCTGCCGCACTGAGCCAGGAGCGAATGTTTCCTGGCACGTCTCATGCCCGCGGAGCTGGGGCAGGCCCTGGGTAAGGATGCCACCCTCAGTGAGGATTTCCACCTGCACCGTTCCCGAGGAATTCCCTCCCTCCCTCCCTCCCAGCACGGAACGTGCAGGGGAATCCCTTCCCATCCGCCTGCAGCGGCCGGCTGTGCACGGAGCAGGGATGCTCCCTGTCGGAGCGGCCAGGCCAGGCTGCCTGGGCACGGGGACAGCTGCGCTGGCACCCGGGTCACCTCAGATGTCACCTCCACTCCTCTCTGCCCCCCTCCTGCAGCCCCCGCGCTCAGAGCAGGGCCGATCCCCTCCAGCAGTCCCGGGGAGGCACGGAGGGGGGCTTGGGGACAGGCTCAAGCTGTGACTGAGCTCAGGGGAGCTCCTTGTCCTCGCAGGCACGCAGGACCCTGGACAGGGATGCAGAAGCACGGACTGCTCGGTCCCTCGGTGTCACCCCCGGGATCCTTCCCTCTGAGCGGCTCCGGGACGGCTGCGGAGCATCTGCGGCTGCAAACCCACAGAATCATCACAGAATCACGGAATCACGGAATCACTCTCTCTCCTCAGCAGAGCCTTCCTCCCCCCGAGAGGAGCACAGCTGAGCCCTGGGTGAGCCAGCAGCTCTGCTCCTGCCCCCGGGGCCATCCCCGTGCTCTGGCTCGGATGTGCCTGGGGCAGCGGGAGGGAGCAGCACCCAGCCCGGGGCTCCCGCAGCTCCCGCTGCTGCTCCTGGCAGCGTTTTCCTGCCCATCCCGGCAGCTCTGCCCCCACTTTCCCACCCGAGCTCTGCCACAGGAGCCCGTTCGGGAGCAGCAGCTGTGTGTAAATCCCTGCTGGCCGGCAGGGAATTCCCACGAGGATGAGGATGGGAGGCCTTGGAAGGGCGTGAGTGCCCTCAGCTCCAGCCAGTGCACCGCTGTGGGTGGCACAGCCCTGCCCAGGGTGGCTGTCCCCCGCTCTCTCCGGGCAAACCCGCTGCTGTTTCTCCCCGAGCCTGGGGATGGCACCAGCTCCTCACTGTTCGGGCTGCAGGTGAGGAGCTGGAGCTTTCCCCATCCCCTGCGCCCTGCAGGGCGTGCGTGAGGCTTGTTCGGGTGGAAAACAGAGGTGCCACACTACAGCCGAGCTCTTCACGCGTTTCCAGCCTCGAGTGCCCGGAGCCGGCGGGCCGGGAGCTCCTGTCCCCAGGGCCGTGTCCTGCTGCCACCCGGCTGCCGCGGGGACACGGGCAGGGCTGGCCCGGCCCCGGCTCCTTCCCGGTGAGCTGAGCCGGTTCCCGCCCCGAGCCCGGCCATTCCTGTCGGTAATTCTTTAACAGGAGCTGGGGGTTCCCGCAAAAGGCTCCTTGCTCATCACAGCTTGGCGCTCTTTACACATTTTAACGAACAAGGACATCAGCCTGCACTAACTGCTGATCACATCGCTTTTTTAATGGTTACTTTTTATTAATTGGCACCCCAGCCCTGTTTGCTGGGTGTATCCTGATCAGCCACAGGAGCAGCTCTCCTCCTCTGGAGCCAGCCCAGCTCCGTTTGAGTGGCTGCTCAATGAGTCGGTGGTCACACTTCCCACTGCTGGAATTCCTTTCCCCCGGGTATTTCCCATTCCCGCTGATTCTCCTCCTGATGGCTCTGGCACAGACACCCCATTCCTGGTGTGCCTGGATACCCTGTGGAGGCCCTGAGCCATTCCTGGTGTGCCTGGATAACCTGTGGAGGCCCTGAGCCATTCCTGGTGTGCCTGGGTACCCTGTGGAGTCTCTGAGCCATTCCTGGTGTGCCTGGATACCCTGTGGAGGCCCTGAGCCATTCCTGGTGTGCCCGTGCCCGGCCCCCTGGGAGCTCTGCCATGCCTGCTCCTGCTGTGCCCTCCTGGCAGCGCTGGCACAGCCCCAGGTGGCTGCAGGGCCAGCATGGGTGGGAGGTGACCCCACCCGCTGCTCCTCCTGGCAGAGCTGGCACAGCCCCAGGTGGCTGCAGGGCTGGCATGGGTGGGAGGTGACCCCACCCAGGAAAGTGTGTTTGGGGTGGGAGAGGCTCTCCTGCTGCAGCCAGAGGGTTCCCCATGGCCTCCAAGCCTCCTGTGTCTGACAGAGCAACACCAAATGTTCCCATTCCACGTTAAAATGGCCCATCCTGGTGATCCCATTGGGGAATCTCCTCCGTGTCCAGCCCTGCAGCCCCACGCCAGCCCTGGGCTGGGGACAGAGCAAAGGGCTCAGCCCCAAACGTGGGGTCCTCCCGAGCTGTCACTGCACCCACAACTTGTGGCAGGGCTTTGCCATCGGATCCGGTCTGTTCTGATCTGTTCTGATCCGGTCTGGTCTGATCCACTCTGATCCGGTCTGCTCTGATCCCGTCTGCCCCGCTCTGCTGTGCCCGCTCTGGCCCCGAGGGGACGATGCAGAGCGGAGCTGCCGCTCCGGTGGCCACAGCCCGGCCGGGGGTGGCCAGCGCGGGGAGGGGTCCCCGTGCCCGGGTGGCACACGGGGGTGTCCCCAGGGCAGCTACGCGCTTTGGAAGCCCCACACCTCCAAGAGCTGCACCTGGAAGTTCTCCTGGCAGAGCGGGGGGTTGTCGAAGGTCTCGCAGTGCTCCGTGTGTCCCCGGAGCAGGCTGGCGTCCAGGGACAGCGCTTGGCCTCCGCCTCCACCTGCGGGAGCGAGCGCAGGCTCGGCCCGGCGCTCCGGGCTGGTCCAGCCCCGGCTGCGGTGCCCCCGCACGAGGGAGGGAGGGAGGGAAGGGCGGCCAGGGGCGCTCCGGCCCCGGGCAGCGACCCCCGGCAGGGTTCGGGCTCGGGGGTCCCCCTGGGGCTCTGGGAGGAGCCCCCTGGGCTGGGCAAGGGGAGCTGGCCTCGCCTGCCCGGACTTGAACCGATATCCCCAGCCGGAGCTCCTGGGAGCCGGCAGGGATCCCCCCTTATCAATAGGGATCCTTCCTTATCAATAGGGACGCCCCCTTATGAATAGGGATCCTCCTTTATCAATAGGGACCCCTCCTTATCAATAGGGATTCCCCCTTATCAACAGGGACCCCCCGAGCTGGGGCAGGCGAGGGACGGGCTGTCCTGGCAGGGCAGCAACGAAGGGACAGAGCCGGACACAAAGCGTGACTTACCGTGAACACAAAGCACTCCCCTGTCCCAAAAAAGCCCGATGTGGCTCCGCTCTTCTTCCTTTCGGCCCAGTCGGAGGAGAGAAACGCCCCACAGACCTGGGGAGAGAGCACAGGGAGCTCAGAGGATGGATCAGCCTCAGCCGTGGCCTCTCTCCCCCTCACCCAGTGGGGTCACCCAGCCTGTGCCCTTCCCCAGCCCTGCCTGGGGAGCGCTCACCTCCCCCTCGGTGGTTTTGATCAGCAGCACCGTGGGTTCGTAGCCCTCACAGCACGTGTAGAACCTGCAGAGATGGACAGGGTGGGCTCGGGGGAGCTGGAGCCCTGGGCAGGCTGTGCTGGCTGGCCCTGGCCGCTCACAGCGTGCCTGGCACAGTGTGGCACATGGGGACATCCCTGCTTGGCACACCCACAGGGCTCCCTGTGCCCAGCTGTTGGTGGCCATGTGGGCCAGCCTCTGCCCCCTGCCCTGAGCCGTGCTCAGGAGCCCGAACCGAGCCCAGGAGGGTCCCCAGCAGCCCCAGAGGTGGCCCAGGTCACTCGTGCTGCTCCTCTCTCCAGCACCAAGCCCTGCCCAGGTCTCCCCCCGGGGCAGGTGAGGCTTCACCTCTGCAGGCTGCAGCCGTCCTCGGAGGTGGAGAAGAGCAGGAGCGGGGGGAAGAGCGAGAAGCGCTCGGGGATCCAGGACCAGACGAGGCGCATCTCCTGCGCCGTGACAGTGCTGGAGCTGAACTTCTGCATGTCCACGGCCAGGTGGAAGGACGGCCTGTGGGGGGAGGGACATCAGGCCGGGCTGGGTTCCTCTGCTTTTCGGGGCACGGCCCCTGCAGCAGGTTCTGCCCTGCCCTGTGCACCGTGAGCTCTCTGCCAACACCCCCAGCTCTGCTGTGCCGTGTCCCCT